ACTTGACATTGTTTCTAGTGAATAGTCTTAGCACAATATTTTCTCCACAGCATCTAGCATCCTAAATTAATTTTTATACAATTTTTTTCTTAAGCTGGCAAAAAACAATTGTTTCTAAAAATATTTTCCGGTAATAATGAGTATCCTAAACTATATTTTGGTGTAATCTTGGTTATGAAGTTTTACGGTGTTAAATGAGTAAAAATTGTATCAATATTATTTTAGAATTTTGAGTACTTCTGATTTTCAAAGCAAATTGTTTTACAAATTAACTTAAGATGATAATTAAGTTACGTTGACACATTTATAGTCGCTAAAAGCATTACTTGAGATTTGAATCGACCTTCTATTATTAGTTTATTACTCGGGTAAAGAAGATTTTTTGTTCCCTAAATTAATAATTAATTAATGAGTAGATTACTATTCCTACTGTATCATTTTATAAAAATAATTCATGTTCATTAAAAAAAGTTGTTAAAAATAGTTACTTCTTATAAAAATATTAATTACGTTTTTTTTTAACTCATTTAATGTTTACTCCCTCCAATTTATAATATAAATTTTATTAGAAGGAAAAATTTGTTTCAATTCATATTTTTTCAGAAGTAGAAAGCAACATCTGTTAATGCTTTTTATTTTATGATCTAACGCCAAACTTTTTTTTTTTTATTAATAGGCTTCTTTGAATGAAAAGAGAAATTGAAAGAAAAAAATAAATAAAAATATTTTAAAACAATCTCTCATCATACTTTTGATCAATAAAAGAAAACACAGAAAAGCAAAATTAGCTAATTTTATTATTATTACTATTATTATTATTATTATTATTATTATTATTATTATTATTATTATTATTATTTGCAAAAGATATGGGTCATATGTTTGGAAAACTTTAGAAACAATGTTTTAAAGCGTATTTTTTATGCTATCGTTTAGGTTTCTCTTATACTGTTTTTTTCCTTGAAGATGAAGAAAATGAAAGTATTCCCTTCTTTCTTTGGATCCCAAAGTAATTGTTATTCCAGTCTTAATATATAAAGAGAAGACAAGATGTGACACAAGTCTCACTAATTTGATTGGAATCAAAAAGGGAAAAGGTAATGCAATTAAAGATGCTTGAACATTTATTAATGAAAGAAGGTTGTATGCCCACAATATGCTTCATTTTTCTATTTATTTAATCAAAGATGAGACCAAGTGGCTCAATATGAGTGGGCATGAGATGAAACGTGTTTCAGAGCGCTCATATAATGAATTTGTTGACCAACTTTTTCAAAGAAATGTAATTATGAGATTTAAAGAGATCATTGACATAAATTATGGGCAATATTAAGAAGGAATAAAGCTTGTTAATTTCATTAGCGTAGATTAACAAATCACGATTTCAACCAAAACACATGATTATTACTTGTGGTTGAATGTGCCTAATCTAGAAGCCATTACATATCAAGATTTAAGAACACGAGGCTAAGCTTTAACTCCTTCGGTTAATTAACCATGCCGACATGGTCTAAAAATATGAGTTGTCATTTTTTTTTTCCTGGTGACTAAGGTTTTTTTCCCCACTGGGAATGGGAGAAGTTGGTGGAAGCCTTCAGCGATGGTGTGTTCTGTTCATCCCCAGTGCTCTACTAAAGTCATCATTTTTCTTCTGGAAAAAAGAAAAATCTACTGGTGTCTCTCTTACTGCCACTACATGAAGTTTTCAGCCATTGTGTTTGATCTTATTCTATGGAGAGTGCCCTGTTTTAAACAGAATTTTAGTGGAAGTTTTCAGTTTTTTTTTTTTTAATATTGACAACTACATCGATTATACAATCAGTGTAAAAGAGTGAGTTCAACAGCAGCTAAAACAGCAGGTCGATCGTTACTACCAAAACAGTCTTCACTCTGGTATGATGATCCATTCCCTTCTTCTTCTCTCAATTTTCTTTCTTTACTTTCTCAGTCTCTCCCTTTGTGCTTCTTAATTCTCTCTCTCTCTCCCCTGTCTTCCAGCCACCTATTAATTTGTTAGAAGGTCTCCATATCTGTGTGTGTTTGTGTGCAGCTTTAATTAAAGCAAAGCTCCGTGTATATATCTGTGTGGCTTCTGGCTTTTTCCAGAGGATTTTCAGTTTATTTTACGTCATATCTCCGGATGATTTTGGCCGCTAGCAGCCAGGGATATACGACTAACCCGACCCGGCAGCGATGTTACCCTTTTGCTTTCGGCCGATAACGAACAAAAATCGATTTTCTCCTCTGTCCACAAGGATACAGAGGATCTAGCGGTGGAAAAAAAAAAGAGTTTTTCCCTGTCCGGATTTGAAGAGAAAAGTGGGAGGAAAGAAAAATACAGGAGAAAATAGGGTACAAGGCCTATCTAATTTTTTCTCTGACTTTTTTTCTCCACATATGGAGAGAAAAACTCACATCCCTTGTATGTCCTCCTCCAAAATAGTCTAGTAATCTCCCATTTCTATGTTTGATGCAAAATTTTCTTTTTATTTTTATTTATGGCTACTTCATAATTCAGCACATTAATATTAATAAATCATCTCACTGTATTATGGCCAAATTCAAAACCAGCACGCAAACTCCATTATTAATATATATATCTTCATATATTTCAAATTTTATTTTAAATTTTGATTATTAATATATAATTTATTTATTTCTTTTATCGTGTTTAATTTAAAAAATTTACCCACTTTTTATTTTTACCTTAAAAGTAATATTTTTTACTGAATTATTTGGTTTTTAAAATATAATCACATGACAATATTCTTTTACCAAATCATTTGATTTTAAATTATTTAATGATGTTAGTCTTAATATGATGTTTTCATTGGAATGTTTAATTTTATTTTCAACATGATATATTCTGATATAGATATAAAGGTATTTTAGTCATTTACATATTTACTCTTTTTTTTTAATTTTCTCTCCTCTAATCAAACAAGAAGGATGATAACATTTTCTCTTCAATTTTTTCTCTTTCTATTTTCGTTCCTTTTAACCTTTATTCCCATCCAAACGAAGCATAAAGAGTTTGGCTCTAAAGTGACGCCTCCGTCGTGACCCAATCTCCATCACATAATTTCAAGATCATTCTAGAAGAATATCGAAAACATGTTTGACAAGTTAGACAGAACAAAATTATAGCTCAATACAGAGCCAGAGAAAGGAAAACAAAACACTAATTTCTTAAAAAAGCCACAGAGAATTTGGGATTCTGGATTCATAGCACCGTGCAGTATTCTAAAGCCTAGAATGATGATGTTTAGGAAAAGTCTTATGTTAGAATTGATCTATATATGTTTTATTAGAGAAAATGTATGTTACTGGAAGCTTCATAACCACGATGCAGGTAAAAATATGCGGATGGGACCTCAAAACAAATTATGGGATTCATATATTCAAATGTCTTGTACTCCTTTGCTCTGTATATTTCTTATTAGATTATCTAATTATAAATAATATATTTATTTGTTATCATTGAAAGATATTTCCAAAAGCTTGAATAGGAATAGAATTCAATTGAGATTTGTCCGTTCTTTAGGTTCCAAAGGACAAGGCGGAGTTTACAACTTTCCAAGCAAGCTTCAGAAAGCAGATTCCAATTCTATGTCTCTGATCTTTAACACATGTTTGATCCATTTAAAAAACATAACTATAGCTGATTATTAAACTGTACATGAGGCTTTTCTTACATGCTACCTCCCAACGTTCAGAGCAATTTTAGTTTACTTTCTAATATTCTGACATGGCGCTCCAGCTTGAATAGTAATTCAAAAGCATCAATCATAATCAGAGTTGCAACATAAAACTAGGACATTAATCCAAATAGATGTTACTTGAAGTTATTGGTTGGATTCATTCCAATAAGGTACTATCTCTTATTCTTAATATTATTATACCAGAAGATACACTAATCCTCTGATATCTCCGCCAATACGTATTTGCCTCCTTTTTGTGAATGAAGATGACTATATCTACTAATTTTTGTGTGATTGGACAATTTTGATTATGAAGAAAGGTCACTTTCCTGAGCTTAACAAGTCAGTTGTTTTCCGTTATGATGACAGAGCTGAAAGCAGAGTAGGCAGATGGTTTTTTTACACAAGTTTCCACAAGAAGCTTTGGGGCTGTTTTTGCATCTCTACCGTTCCTGATATTCACTACACCGTACTGCATTCTCTTTGGATAATAGATATTACACTTGTTTTGTGTGCAAGCAAAATGGAATCTATTTTCGGAAATGTTGAACCAAACAAGTTAAGTTAAATAAATTTCAGTCTATTTCTTTGTGGTTTGACTTGAAGTTAAAATGGTTTAGAATATTTTCTATTAATTTAGAATATTTAATTTCAATGCCTTTGATGGGATTAAGGGGACAGTTGTCTTAAAAGGCTGAGATTATTGATTAAGATAAAGCAAACCATCTTTGCATTATTGCTGAAATTTTTGAACATCAAGAGCTCATTTTAATGTGCGACAATGTGTCATCTTTGTAGTTTAATGCACTCATAAATACCATATTCTCATGGCCGGCCACAGTGGCTTTGATCGTAGTGGTATTACTTGCCAACACGCTCGAGATTGAAAAGTCAAAGAAAGACAGAGGGATGACATCGGGGCCAAAGTTCAAAAAGTTTATAGGAGAATATTTCTCCTTTCAATGGAAGAGTTCTATACTTTGCCATTCAATTTCAATAGGTTCCTTCCACCTACTTGATATTCATGAGAATGAGAAGCACATATACATAAATCCTTAAGTCATGACATATATGATGAGTGATATTATTTCTTCACAATCATCCCTCAATTTTTTTTAAAACTTGTTTCCACTTAGGACTATAAAGCATTTGGATTCATGCTTTGTAAGTTCAATAAACAGAACATTTATGTTTCTAGCTTTAGTAACTTTTCAAAAACTCTCAAGACTATTTCTAATTTGTAGTTGCATTCTTTTATGGAACTTTCTTCAAATGTATGAATCCATGAATGTAAAGAACCTAATTTCTTATAAAAGTTTGCTAAAGTATACTCTATTAGGTGAATTAAAAAGGGCGGAAAATAGAGACCTATGAGCAGGACTTGGGTTTACACTAAATGGACTATATATGGATGATATTTTTATTGTTAAATTAAACACTAGGAAGCTTTGCCATATTCTTTTTATTATTATCACTTATCACTAATCCTTGTAGAGGCCAAATATAATTTAATTCTTTTTTTAATAACATAATTTAATTCCATTTGATGATGGCTTAATATTATTATCCCTTAATGACGTTTTCTCTTACAATTGTTTTAATTTTTATACAAAATGTAGGCAACTCTTAAAAAATTTATAATTATTTACAGTTGTCAAATTGATGGATTGGATTATAAAGTTTCACTTAAAATGCTTTATAAACATTAACATGACTTTATCCTTCGGAAGGATGAAGCAAGTGTGGAGAGATTATGGGTGGGACCTTCAAAACTTATTCATCTACAATTTTAAAGTATGTTATCCTTTTTTTTTTTCATTAGAAAAACCTTTTTTGCGATGATTTCTTTTACATATAAATCAATATAGAATTGTGCTTGTATTTTTTTAAACAATAACAACTATATTGCGAGATTGAAATACAGGATGACATAAGAAATCATTGATTGATACAATATTTGAAATAAAATAAGTTACGCACACAAGGGCCACACAGTTATTGTATTTTGTGTCCAATCTTGAATATAGTTGCATAGCTCCAACAGACTCAAATAAAACACAACTTCAAAGTAAGGGTATGTCTAAAATTTTAAGTTTTTCTCAATTTTTTGTGTAATTTTCAATACACTGATACAAATCCAACATATTTTCACACACAACATAGTAAGAAACAAATGCAGATAAAGAAACCATTGGAAGATCCAAAGCTCATTATCAGCCGTTCATTGTCTAACTTTCCAATTTGATCTCCAAGGCTGACAAAAAAAACAATTAATTATCAGCTTAATCAAAATGGAACATATAGACAAAATAAAAATTAATAACCTTGTTTATTCTTCACAGTCTTCGAGACTGTCCTTAGATAATGTGTATTAAATTAGAGCTAACTATTTATAATAATGAGAAATAATGTGCTAAAAATGTGTAAAAGGTGGAAATTAATTATTTTTTAGTTCTATATAATTATTCAACTTTTAATATTACCATAACATGTCACTTATTTAATACGAGTACATTATTATGATTTTGATATGAGGACACGGCAAAAATTTTGGGAGTGATTACAATTTCTTATTAAAAAAATTAGAGGGATGTGATGTGTGGGTGTTAAGATAGATTTTTTTTCCTTCTAATAAAAGACCTTTTTTTTTCCCATATAGCGATAGAAATTGTAATGCACAATTATTTCATTGATTAAATATGATAATAGTTTGAAAGAAAGAGAGAGTGTAGCTACGAACCTGATGATGAGGGCTTGTCTTCTAATGGGATTTTTGAGATTTTTGATATGTTTGGACACTGTTCTATTGTTATAGTACCAGAAAGGAGGTTGAATTCATAACCTTCATAAATCTCTCTCAACTTTGGCAAATTACTGAGCTTCAAATAATTCAGTTCAGGAAACAGCCTTTGATGATGATGAGCAGCTACTTCACCTTCGTAAGCTTCAACAACTCCCTCCAGTTGACAGCAATCCCATATATATAATTTCTTCAATGAAGCACAATGAGATGGCAGAGAATATGGGAACACCCTTCTCACTTTGTGACAACGAGATATAAAAATGGTCTCAAGTTTGGGGAAGCAAACGGTGGAAGAAGTAGACAGATTCTTAAGTGACTCTTCACAAAATATTCCCTCCCATTCATTGCATCCTCTTACTTCAAGTTCCCTCAACTTTGGAAGGCTTGTGACAATAGCAAGAGTGAACGTATTTCTTAATCTTGGGCATCCCCACATTTTAATGCTTTCAAGTCTATGGAAGCTCAAAATTTGTATGGGATCTTTCCAAATATATTCTAATTCCGGTAGATTTACTAACTCCATGGAACACAATTCTGACTTCACCACCCTCACTGTGTCATTCTCATGTTTCTGTGAAGTAAATATATTCAATGATTAGATGAAAATTCAACATATAGACTATATATACACATGAACCACATAAATTTAATGGCACTGTAACATTAAAAATTAAACCCCGTTCATTTCACATATTTTTAAAATTGTAATAAGACAAGCTCAGTAAGATGAATTTTATTAAGTTAGACTTTTCCTATACATATTATTGGTGGTCCAATGTGAAACATATAGATACACACACAAATATATGATTTATCCATATGCATCGACGTTGATTTATTTCAAATGATAAAGAACTGCTCACAAATAAAACGGAAACAAAGCATGATTCCGCAGCCAAGCATTAGTGTGAACACTACTAATGTTCCACGTAATTTCCAGTTTGATTTTATGACAAGAACACTCCTTTATAGATGAAACATATTAAATAAAAATTGAAATGATTATTGCTTTTCATTTGGATATAGTTTTGTTGTTTGACAGTAAACACAAATATTTCAAATAAATTTAAAAAGTAAGCAAGAGGAAAATAAAATATGTCCTGTAAAAAGAATTTTCTCACGTCCAAAGAAAATGAGAAAATATTTTCAATGATTCATTCTGTACAAAACAATCATGAAGTTATTTTCCTGACGAAGCTATAAAATGAAAAATATAAAGTGTTGTGTTTGATAAATAATTAAAAAATAAGTTTAACAAATTCATCCATAAAAAAATCACAAATAAATGTTAAGATAATAGTTATTTATATTTAAAAAAGAGAAAATTTAAAAAAAATAGTGGAATCATTAGTATGTAGCGTTAATACAAACCTCTAAAATTGCATAATAAAAAAAATTTGTTATCTATATGTGCGCGCGCGTCTGTCTACGGAAATCTTGAATAAAAAAAAGAAATAGTGAGAGAAAACACTTACGTGAGGTGGTAGCCGATCCCCATACGATGCTTCTTCAACAAGCCTCTCAAGTTTAGAGCAATCTTCGATGTTTATTAACTCAAGTGAAGGACAATGAAGAGATGCCACAGAATAAGACAACAGCCATCTCACTTTATCGCAATTTATGATGCTAATCTTCTTAAGTTTGGGGTAAAGGATCAAAGGTTGCTGAGAGATTAAAGCATAGTAGTTAGTTTCACCAAAAGAGTTGAAAGGAAAACATACAAATTTTAATAGCAATAAAAGATGCACACTGACAAAGACCTTTTTAACGTCCACGGAAAATTTAACAAATATTGTATATATGTACATAATTTGTAGATATTATATCAGCTCCAACTTATTCTAAATAAAATACAATTCCATATAATTATTTGCTTGACGACATAAAAAATAAAAATCAGAAAGTGTTGTTTGGAAAAATAAAATTAATTAATTGATAAAAAATTAAAATAAACTAAAGAGATTAAAATTTTTATCAAATTCATATGTGGAGAGATAAATTAAAAAATGCAGCTGGCAAATAATATTTTGTAGTGCTGGAAAAAGAAAAAGAAAAATTCGAGCAGTTTAATCTTTAGTAGCATAATGTAAATGCTAAATAGAAATTTTATGAAAAAGAGGCAAGCGAGTGAAAGAAAAATTTTATACAAATGTTTGAAATCTCTGGTGAGAACTTCTACAGACACTAATTTATATTATGCTAGCTATTATAAGTATTTTCCGAATCGATCATTTGATGGCAAAATAAAAATAACGTACTTTTAAAATTGTGTTAACATAATCTCAACATGCGTTTCACCAGACTCAATCAATCTTTATACTAACATGGAAAATGTGTGACTGGAAAATGTTGTATATACTTTTTACTACATGATTATGTTAATTCTCTATTACAACAACTATATCACATTTAATAAATAATGTGTGTGTGTATATATATATATATATCTTTTTTTATAATGCATCAACACTAATTTATTTTTGAATAAAAATAACTTTGAACAAGCACTTCCCACAATAAATACCTAATAGCAAAAACAATATGAAAAAGTCATTTCCTTGAACAAAATGCAGAATAAGCAATATAAAATGCTACCGCATCTGACAAATAAAAGTCATTATTTTAAAAAAATTAATAAGAAAAAGGCAAAGCTCAAAAAGGAAATAATATTTTATTATTATGAAAATAAGGAAAACTCAGAAAATAGTTTCGTCGTGCAGCCTGAATATATAGCTAAGAAAATTTAATAATAAAAAGAGGTTTATACAGGTATAATAAAGTGAAGTCAAAAATAAAATAATTACTGTAGAAGTTATCTTTAATGATTATACAAATATACATTATACGATAGCAAACAACAATTTTTCAAATAAACGGGAGATGTAAATTGAACATGGCTACTTTAGCAAATGCATCAACATATATGGATTATTATTATTTCTAATATGCAATGATTCAAGAGGGATATTGCGGGGGATAAGACTCACATGTGGATAATCTTGCATATCATGAAGTGGTGGATCCCCATGTGCACCGTCTTCATCAATGAGCCTCTCAAATTCAGAGCAATGGTCTATGGATATAATCTCTAGTGAAGGACAATGACATGCCAGAGAATAAGATAACAACCATCTCACCTTGTGGCAACCCCATATGTCAATCTGCTTAAGTTTGGGGAAGCAAATATTAGAAGAAGAGAGGTTTTTGAGTGATTCTTCACAAAATATTCCCTCCCATTCCCTGCAATAATATACTTCAAGTGTTCTCAACTCTGGAAGGCTTGCAACAATAGCAAGAGTGAAGATATTTTTTTAATTTTGGGCAGTTCTGCAATGAAACATTTTCAAGTCTATAAAGGCTCACAATTTGGATGGGGCCCTTCCAAATATATTCCAATTCTGGTAGACCATGTAAGTTTAATTCACTCAACTCTGAATCCAGCTTTAGAGATTCTTGTACTTTAATATATTCCTCATCATCTTCTACTCTTCCTCTCACTTGGATTTCCAATATACCTTTCTCTTTTCCACTCCTTTCAATGTGTAGACTTTTCAACCTTAGAAAAAGGATCAAGGATTGCTGATTTTGTAACTGATTGAATCTTTTTGCTATAACGCCCACATAAGCACTGTCAGTTTCCTTTCCCTGTAAATGGATTAAAATTAAAATTATGAAATGGACTGATTATAACAACTTGCTTTTTACTCTAACTAGATTGGAGATTAAACCCAGTAAGTTTCTTATATTATATATTAATTATTGCCAACTATTGCTAGTAAATAATCCTTTTTAACAAGTAGGCAAATATATATAGTAACAATCAGGACTTTTTTTTATTACCAGAACTTGAAATGAAAATATAAAATTTTTAATAGCAGTAAAAGAGGCACGGTAAGAGAGATCTTTTTAAATATCAAAAGAAAATTTAAGAAAAACATTTATCTTAAAATGTGGTATCCTAAATCATTATTTTATTGACAAAATATAAAACAAAAAATTTAAAGTGCTGTTCGGAAGAATGAGATAAAAAAGACAATTTGTAAATAATTTTTGTAATACTCAAAAAAGAAAAAGAAAAATACAAGTAGACAATTTGTAAATAATTTTTGTAATACTGAAAAAAGAAAAAGAAAAGTACAAGTAGTAGTGTATTTTGGTTACAAAACATAATTAGTAGTTAAATCTTAAAAAAAAATCTCTTAGTCCCAATAATTTTAACTTAATATAAAATTTGGTGCCCGGACTTTTATTTATTATTGCTACCTAGTCCTTAATCTTCCCTTTAATCTTTAGTATATAACATAAATATTAAGCAACAGTATTTAAGTCAACTTCTTTATATTCATTATGCAAAGTTCTCCAATTATATATGATTATATATGTATCCTATATATTTTTAAATATTATCATTGAGGTGCACTGCAAACTATATTTTATATTGAGGACTAGCAGTAGTGCAAAGATATAGAATTTCATTATGCAAACATTGTCATGTAGTTAAAAGCAATGAACAAAAAACCGGATCGGATACTGAACCGGTCTAGATAGTGGGTCAAGGGTTAATGGGTCAGACCGGGGTCAGACCGGTCATATTAAAATAATATAATTTAATTAGAATGACAATAAAAATAACATTCATTAATAATAATCATTTAACAAAATACCAAAAACAACCCATATGGTTTAAAGTTTAAACATTTAGTTTCAGATTTCATATTGAACAAAGTGGGGAACCGTCCATAATTTTACAACTGTCCATAGTTTCAGATTTCACTACTTCACTATATACAATGAAATGACCACAATTTTAAACCAAACACATTCACAATTTTGAAACCAAACAAGTAATTCTAAACTAGAGCATCAAATTATTTCAGAGTACCATTAATTTTCAGAATATCCATTCCTCACGCATCAATTTTGGAATCATTGATGAGTTCAGATTTCAGAATACAATTAATTTTCACAGAATATCCATTCCTCACGCAGAAGCAGAATTCAAATTCCAGAATGACAAAATCAAACCATAAAAATAATTAAAATGGCAGAGATTAATAGATTATCACCGTCACTTCCTCCAAGTTCGACTTTGCTGAGTGGCCGAGAGCAGAGAATGAGTTCAAAACTTCAAACGAAAATTGGCAGGCTGGACTTGGGAGAACTGAGATCGGCGAGCACTCAGCCACTCACTAACAATTTGGATCGGCGACGACAGGGCACCGATGGCGCGGGCAAGGCGAGGAGCTTCAGGCGCGGGCAAGGCGAGGAGCTTCAGGCACGGCGACGGCAGGGCACCGAGCAGCTTCAAGCGAGGCAGGGGACGATGGTCGACGACACACCGAGAGTGAGGGCACAGAACCGTGTGCGAGCTTCAGCAAGCTGGGAGATTCAGCGAGCTGGGAGCCTGGGACCGAGGACGGGGAAGTAAGCTGAGCACACGACGGTTGTGAGGGCGACGGAGGACGAGATCGAGATTGCCAGAGACCGAATGAGGAAGAAGGACTAAAGGAGACGGGCGCTGGGTCGAGACTCGAGCGAGGTTGCGATGCGAGACTGCGGGGATTCGAGCTGGTTTTGGAATCGCCGAACCAGTTTGCAAGTTTTTTTTTTTAATGAAACGACGTCGTTTTCGGGCTCTGGAGGGGGCAAAAAGGTGAACCGGATAAACCCCCTAAACCGGCGGTTTACCCGGTTTAACACCGGTTCTTACCGGCTCAACCAGTTTACCACCGGTTCAAACCCTGGCCGGTTTTTTCCTTAACCCAGACCGGACATTAGGCCGGTTCACCGGTTGAACCGGCCGGTCCTGTCCGATTTTTTTTTTCCATGGTTAAAAGTCTTTAAATAAAGAAAGAAACGACACTAATTTATAATATATTAGCTTCCTTAATTACTTTTCACAATTAATATATAGATGGTGATAGAAATTATGATTTACCAAACTATTTTATGATAACAAACAACGCTTGACTTTCATTTTGAAATTGATTTTTTTTGGGCCAAAATTTTGAAATTGATTTCACGTATTTTTTAAATGGTGATAATTAACATACTCTCAACATATATTTAACAAACGAATATTCTATATATGTTTTGCTACATGATTACATTCAACCTCTGTTATAACATTTAATTAATGATATATATATAAGTAGACATATTATATATTTCTTGACCAACACAAATATTTATTTGACCAAAAATTGAAATATAAACATACAATTGTTTAAGACCAAGAGAGGCACCGTTAAAAAGTGTTTTTTCACATCCACAAAAAAGCATCGCAGAAAAATCCAAACAAACAAAGAAAGAACATTTTATATATGGAAAATGCATCAATGCCAATTTATTATAAATAGAACAACTTTGAATAAGTACTTCCCACATTAAATATTTGATGCCAAAAAAGAATTAATAAGAATGAATATGAAAAATACAAAGCTTGGAGAAGCAATAGTATTTTATTATCTTGAAAATAAAGAAAAACCCAAAAAGTAGTTTTATGGTGCAGCCTAAATACAGAGCTCAGAAAACTTCCTAATAAAAAGAGCCTTACATAGTTACAATGGACTCAAGTCAAAAATAAAATGACTATTATCTCTTACTAAGAATATTTTTTAAAACATAAATATATCTTTAAATTAAAAAGAGAGTAGAGGTAGAATAAACAAAAAGAAAAATAACATGACTATTGTTGGTTATTGAGAATATATTTTTTTTATGCTTATATGTATTGTTCGATCATAAGCACAGATTTTTCAAATTAAACGGAAAAAGTAATATCTTCAATTTGTTCTCGGCAAAAAAAAAAAAAAAAAGGTAGAGTGAGCGAAAAGAAAAAATCACCCACAAGTGAAATTATTCGCTGTTGCATGATCCTAGTTTTGTTTTCAGCACACAAGTTAAAATAAACAGGCATTGATTTCATATAAATTGAGAAAAGGATATCAAATTTATGTGCATCAAGAGAGAAAAGCAAAAAAATTCAGTTTAAAAATTAAATGAAAAGATAAATATTTTTCATCGAATGTGTGAACACGGACTATTATTTCTAATACCCAGTGATTTAACGGGAATTTTGCAAATAATACTTACAGTTGGATAATACTGCTTATCATGAAGCAGTGGGTCCCCATGTGCAGCTTCTTCATCAATGAGCCTTTCAAATTCAGAGCAATTGCTTATGATTATTTCCTTCAGTAAAGGACAATAAGAAGCCAGGGAACAAGACAATAGCCATTTCACTTTGTTGCAACCATCAATATGAAGTTTTCTCAACTCTGGCAGGCTCGTGATGGTGGCATGCGAGAAGATACAAATTCTCAATTCAGGAGAACTCTGTATCCATAGCTCTTGTAACATGGGGAGAGAGCACCTGAGAGATAAATCTTGGAACACTTGTTCAAGACTATTCATTTCAAACAATCTTAAAGTGATCAAGTGTTGGAACACTTGTGTTTGAAGAATGTCCATATCATGGTTCTCGATGATGAATTTTTTCTCGTGACAGCATGATACCACAAAGTGCTTTATCTTAAAATTTATATCCTTATAACCCCACCTACAATTATCTAGCCAAAGGTGGTTTGCTCTAAGAATGTGATCTTTCATTGATGAATTCAAAGCAAAGACTCTAAAGCCTTGTATACGTAAAGCTCTTAATGCTTCAGCACAACTATCCAAATATTCTTGAAAAAGGTCACCCCGATATTGACAAATTAATTTGGAATCATAGATAACATACCTCTTCAAATTTGAAAGAGAAAGAAATTCTAGGATGACAGATTTTTCGTCCCAAAAGTATAATTCTTCAAGCTGCTCACATCTTCCAATTACTTCTAAAGGGCATTTCCAAATTTGACAACCAAATATATCCAAAAGTTTCAGCATTTTCATATCTACAATTCCAACAGGTAATTCATCAAATCGAGAACCACGTAAGCCAAGAATCTCCAATCCTTTAAGTTCACCCAAAAGAGATATGTCCCCCAATACTTTCCCTCTAAGGCATAAGGTCTGAAGATTTGTTAATGATACAATTGATTGTGGAATTGAATCACAAGTTTGATACAGCCTCCTCCCAATTCCCAATAAAATCCACATGTTATGAGTGCCAAGACTTTGAGTGATTCTATTGCTCCAATATCTTGAATGAACCCATGAGGTTGAAGTAGCAGAATCTCAAGTTTTGGACAAAGCAATTGTTTAGAGAGCTTGAAACCCACATTCAAATTCCACAATGACACTACCTTTGTATCTTCCAAACTTTGGTAGTTACCAATTAACATGTTTGAAATCATTTTGTTGTCCACTAAAATTGCTTGGCGTTGCTTCTTTGCAATCCACAAAGCTGCATCTCGAACTAAATCATGCATTTTCACATGCGCTTCCTTTTCTATACTCACCAACAAATAAGAATCCAACAAGATGTCTAGAGCATATAAAATCTCTCTCCTTGCATCCTCCATTGTGACAATAGACTCCTCTAGCTCAAGTGTCCTCTTGCCAAATCGAATTAAATCCTCTCTATGAATTTCATGATCTTCAGGGAACATAGAGCATAATAAGAAGAGGGACTCGGCTGTTGAACTTCACAAGCCTTCATAACTCAATTCTAAACATGCATTAACATTGGTCAAACCTTCTGCAACATTTAATGGCTGATCGCGTTCTAGTCTCTTAGTGCTGACTCCCATGCTCTAATAGGTTTTCTCTTTAAGGAGCTTCCAACTATTATTATTGCAATCGGTAGCTCCTTGCACTCATTAACAATTTTCCTTCCTATGTCATCAAACATATTTGAGGAATCATTGCGTAGATTTGCATGTTTCTTGAATAATTCCCAGGCCTCCTCCTTAGTTATCAAAGGCAGTTCAATAGTCTTACAACCCATAAAGCCACATACATTGCGAAGGCGAGTTGCTAACAAGATCTGACAACCTTCAACAAGTGGAATGCCAATATCTTCAAGCTTTAGATATTCCCACACATCATCCAAGATTATAAGAATCTTCTTATTTTTCAATCGATTTGACAGCCTTTGTGCTCTTGCCAATGGAGTTTGATCTGAAATTTTCAAATCTATTTGCTCTGCTATATCTTGCTGAACTTTTGTAACATTTAGAGGAGGTTTCGAAACAATGACCATGATGACCTTTTCAAAAATCTTCATCTTGTCCACTTCCTTGCCTACTTCTTTTGCCAAAGTGGTTTTACCTGAACCGCCCATACCACAGAGTCCGATCATCTTGTTCTTTTCGTCTTTAATTGCCTCCAAAAGATCCTTATAAGTAGATTCCCTTGACTGAAAATCCACAAAGTCTTTGGAAGAGAAGTGAGTGATGTCAGGAAGTTGGATTAGATGAGAAAAATGGTCTTTCTCAAAGTAGGACTCCTTTTTTAGCTCCATCATCCTCTTTGCGTTATTATCCATTTGTTTTGCTAAGGAATACTTGAGAGACACGTTGAAACAACTCTTTCCTTCCTTTTCAGCCTTTTGTTGCAACTCTTGCACATTCTCTAGAATTTTCTCCACGTCATTCAACCAGTTCTTCACAGGTAGCATTATTTCCTCACTATTTCGAGCAGCTTGTTCCATGCGCTCCTTCACTTCTTCGAGTCTTCTCTTCAGCACATGTTCAGCTTCCATAAGCTCTCCAATGAATTTCTTGAAGCAAAATAAATAGCGAGCACGATCTAGAATTGGACCCGCCTATTAGGATTATGGTTTTGATGATAACAAAGTTAGATTAAATTGGTTAAGTATGTTGATCTATCAGCTGATCGATCAAATGATTATCGATAAGCTGTCAGATAATTGTTCAGTATAAATCAGATTTATATTAACTGTTTTAATTGATGAGATGTTTGATAATTCATCAATCGATAAAATGATCGATAATCGCTAACGTAAAAGCAATAGAAGGTAATTGTCGGTTATCGATAGTTTAATCGATAATATCAGATGATCGAACAAGTGACAGATAAAAAAAAGTGAATCTGGACTGACCTTATCGATCAAGTGATCGATAAATAAGTTATCGATAACGACATCGATAAATGGTAAGACACTCTACCTACTTTAATAATGTTTCTGGCATTGTTTATCGATCACATTGTCGATCATTTTATTATCAATAATATGATCGAACATTGAGCTCTAACCTTCTTAAATGCAGGTACTGATTATAGACTATTGATCGATAACTTTATCAATCATCAAATTATCGATAACATGATCGATAATCTATGTGCCAGTTGCTTCTACTTAGTTTTCTTTAGAACTAAATTATCGATAACCTTATCGATAATTAAGCTTTCCTACTTAACATTTTTTTTCAGATAACATGATCGATAAACAACTTTAGAACAAACTCTTCACTTTACCGTTTATCGATAATTTGATCGAACATGCCTTGATCGATCACCCATTCGATAATTCTTGAAATCCCTGTTTCTCACTGAAGGTTTCACACTTGACTCTTATCGATAACATTATCGATCACAATCTTATCGATAATATGTTCAATCAACATGCACTAAAGTTTCAATTCTGTAACACTTGAATTATCGATAAATTTATCGATCAACCTTTACTCGGTAAACTAATCGATCATTTGATTTCTGTCAGTTTAATTTCAGCAAGTTACAACATTTCTCATACTCACCTATCCTCATGATTACTTTACCAAGTGGTGTATATTCAAAGGAACTCGGATTTACATATCAACCTAAGATTTCCTGTTGCACTTTATCGATCACCTGATCGATAAACCATTGTTCCATCATCTGATCGATAAACTTCTTTAACTAATCGAAAATTTCTCTATCTGTTTTTCGATAACCAAATCGATCAGCCAGTAATCGATCACCACTTCGATCAACCATGTCCAGAATATCTTTCTGCACCTTTTACGGATGATTCATTCTATCTAGAATGATTGAGTAATTAATTAGTCATTCCTCCTGATCCATGACTAAAGCTTACACCGCGTTATTCTTACTTGTTTAAGTTTAAAATATGGATGCAGATTACTAAGAGAAATTACAACGGCTCTTCAACGGGATTACGTAACCTGTAACCTACATTGTCAGAAAGCTCAGACGCATTAATGGTGGAACCGTTGGAATTGGCTAAACACACAAACGAAGTCACAACGGCTAGAAGCTCTTCCATCTAATGGTTACTTAACGATCTCAACTATAAAAGGTGCGAAGAAGCATTAATGAGAGGATTGAATACCGGAGCTACCATATGTGATTATTAAGTCTAGCATTCAATACTCTGTTTCTTCAATACTACTGAGCGTCAGTGTTCATCATTAAATTTCACTCTGTAAGAGAGTCGATTTCTATCCTTTATTAAGCACTATTGAGTGATACTCAAGAGTGTGGACTCTTGAGCAGGTTTGTATCCTTACGGGAGTAAGGGGGAGTGATTGAGTGATTCAATTATTGTACTGAGGCACCAAGAGCCTAAACAATCTTGGAAGATAGTAAAATACTCAGAGGTGTTCTGAGGACTGGATGTGGGTCAAGTGGTTAAGACCGAACCAATATAAATCCTGTGTCTTCCCTTTACGGTGAAATCTCTCTTAACTTTAACTCTCTGTTTCCGATATTGTCTGTGTTTAATTTCAATCAATTTTTTTACTCACCCAATTCACCCCCTCTTGGGTGAGATTGCTTCTAACATTTGGTATCAGAGTAGGTCTCTTTATTAAAGATTTAACAGTCTGAAGAGAGATCCAATGGCAGGATTCGGAGACAGTGTGCTACCAGAAGGATGCTCAACGTCCAAACCGCCTGGCTTCAGTGGAGAGAATTACACCTTCTGGAAAATGAGGATGAAGATCTTCATCAAGGCCACAAAGTATGGGTTGTGGGACGTAATAGAGCATGGCAACTATGTTCCAATGAAAACAATAGATAGACAGCAAGTACACAAAAGTCCCAGGGAGTTCGATGAGGAAGACAAGAAGCTGGTGACCCTAAACGACAAAGCTGTCAACATACTCACATGTGCACTTAGCTAGAGGGAATACTTCAGAGTTTCGAGTCTAGAAACTGCAAAGGAGATGTGGGAAGCCCTAGAGATAGCTCACGAAGGAACCACCGGTGTAAAACAGAGCAGAATCAATACTCTCACCACCGAATTCGAGTTATTCAGAATGAAGGAAGGAGAGAGTATTCGAGACATGGAGGTCAGATTCTCACATCTCATAAACCACCTCATTGCACTTGGGAAGAAATATAGTCAAGAAGATCAAGTGAGGAAAATACTGAGCGGTCTCACAAAAGAATGGGAACCGAAAGTAACAGCAATTGAAGAAACCAAAGGAGAATCCATTGGTTCTGTTGCAGCGCTGTCCGGAAGCCTTGCTAAATACGAGAGCAAGCAAAAATATAAAAAGGAGATGAACGAGAAGAACCAGAAAAGCATCGATCTTAAAACTCAAGAGAGTGAAGATGACAATGAAGATGATCTTGAAGATGATGAAATGAGCCTGATAGTCAGAAGGTTCAAGAAATTCTACAAGAACAGAACTGGAAAGAAGTTCCAGCCAAAACGCAGAGCCTCAACATATCAGAATGAATCAAAAGATCCAATCATTTGTTTCGAATGCAAGAAGCTAGGACATATCAAGGCGGAATGTCCCCAACTATCCAAAATGAAGGATAAAGAAAAGAAGAAAGAAAGATTTAGAAAGAAGAAAGCCTTCGTCACATCAATCTGGGGAGATAGTTCTTCAGAGGAAGAAGAAGAAAGTGATGATGAAGAAACCGCTAACATCTGTCTAGTGGCCCAGGAAAATGAAGAATCAGAGACAGATGAGGTAATAATTTCTGAACCATCTTATGATGAATTACAGTCCGAATACAATGCATTACATTTAGAATTAGTAAGAATTGCAAAGGAGTTAGTAAGCTCCAAGAAGAGAATAAAGCTCTTAGAAGAACAACAATAAAAGGTTGAAGACAATGTAGATCCGCTCTCAGGCTGCAAAGATTGCGAAATGAACAAAAAGAAGATTGAGGATCTTACCAAAACCTTAGAAAAATTTACTAAAGGTAGTGAAATGCTTAAAGTAATCCTAGGAGCTCAACGATGTTCGATGGACAAAACTGGTATAGGATATGATCCATCCCAGGATAAGTCAAAGGGAAAGAAAAAGAGTAGTGGTAGATCATATCTTACATACTTTAGAAATACTGTGCATTCTTCCAATCCATTTGCACTATGTTCTTACTGCAACCGTAAAAGTCATTCAACTTCTTCTTGTTACCATAAGAAGAAGGGGACCTACGAAACATTAAAATGGGTGCCCAAAGGTACTTATGTACCAAAGACAACTCACACTAACCAAAAAGGACCCAAGAAGGTATGGGTACCTAAAACATGATTTTGATTTTGCAGGTATGTCTCAAGGCATCCAAAACAAACAAAGGGTATATTGACAGTGGGTGCTCCAGACACATGACGGGTGACACTGAGAAGTTTACATTACTCATACCAAAAGAAGGAGGAAAAGTAAGTTTCGGAGGAAACCAATCAGGAAGAATTGCTGGAATCGGAGAAGTCAGAAGTAACATGGGCATGAGGGTCGAAGATGTATACTATGTGGAAGGCCTATGTCATAATCTCCTCAGTGTCAGTCAAAGTGCAGACACAAACAACTGGGTGATCTTTGATTCTGAAGAATGCTTAATCATAAGCAAAGATGATCTACCTCTGAAGAAAGAAGAATTGAATACAAAGCTGAGAGCTCCAAGGGATGGTAACTGTTGTACACTTCAAATTGATTCTAAAACCCCTGAAAACTGTTTTATTAGTAAAAAGGAGGAAAGTTGGATTTGGCACAAACGACTTGCACATGTTAACATGAATCAACTTTCAAAATTAACAAAAAGGGATTTAGTTGTCGGATTACCAAAAATTCAGTATGAACATAATATTATTTGTGATGCATGTCAAAAGGGTAAGCAAACAAAGACTTCGTTTAAATCAAAAAGGACAGTCTCAACCGAAAGACCACTCCAAATGATTCACATGGATATGGTCGGTCCATCAAGAGTAAAAAGCTTCAGTGGAAATCTCTATACTCTTGTGATAGTTGACGACTATTCGAGATTTACCTGGACTTTATTTCTTTCCTCTAAAGATGAAACGTTTAATGCATTCATTGTTTTTGCCAAAAAGGTCCAAAATGAGAAAGGTATATCTATTGTGTTAATCAGGTCCGATCACGGAGGAGAATTTGAAAACAACGAATTTGCCGACTACTGTGAGGAGCATGGAATTGACCACAACTTCTCTGTACCAAGAACTCCTCAACAAAATGGAGTAGTTGAACGAAAGAATAGAGTACTCACGGAAATGGCTAGAGCAATGTTGAATGAGAAGGGAGTCTCACAAGTATTATGGGCAGAGGCAATGAGCACAGCTTGCTACATATCCAATAGAGCCTACATCAGAACGCTGCTCAGAAAGACGCCATATGAATTGTACAAGGGGAGAAAACCGAACCTGACTCGTCTAAGGATCTTCGGTAGCAAATGCTATATTCACAACAACAACAAGGAAAATTTGGGTAAATTCGATCCTAAAGCTTATGAGGGTTTGTTTCTCGGTTATTCTAATCGTAGTAA